AAGTAGAATTATTTGTAAATATAGGATCAGCTATAAATTAATAATTGTAAAATAAATAAAATAAATACAAAATTATTTAAGGATATTTAGTATATCAAATTTTAAATAAAATATACCTTCATTTAATATATCACTATAATTGTTTAAAGGTTATTTGGAGGTTGGATATTGATATTTAGATTTATCAAATGATGGGATATTTGGTAAAGTTTTTTTATCAACATTTGGCATTTCTATTAACTTAATTTAAAAAAATTAATATATATTATTCATAAATATATAATATTAAATTAAATTATATAAATTATAGATTAAAATATTACAATTTAGCGAGCCTATAATGTTATAATCTCACTATCTAATTTTAAATGTCAACCATCATCAGATATCAAACACCCTTGAATATGTATGCTACATGATGGAAAACTTTTATAAATTTTTTTTTAATAATATTTAACTTATTTATCATATCCAATTCAGTTTCAAGAGTCTAACAATAAAAAATAAATAAATCAATAAATATAAATAACATACACGAATTCTTTTAATTAGTCTACTACTTTTACAATAAACACATAGCTGTATATTTTTTCTGCATTTTATTTCAGCAATAAATGCAACAATAGTACCATTGGTTTTAAGATCATAGTGATCTGCTTTAGATGTGTTTGAGATTTGATAACCAATGCGACCTAATTCAATTTTTCCCACTGCTCAGGGAGTGAATGAAATAGAATTTCTTCTTCAACACTTTCGAAATTCTTGATATTGCTAAGATTATACTGGATTGCTAATGCCTCATCCAATTTTTTATGTAGTTTTTCAAACTGATCATAGCAAACCAATGTAATAAATACTAATATTAAACCATTTTAATTAGTTAATTTAAAAATATAAAATAAATAAATATTTTAAAAATTTATTTATATACTAGTATTAGGCTCCTTTTTTAATCTAGATTCTTTTGAACTACTAATTTCTGAATTAGGTTCTTTTGTACTACCAATATCTGATTCAACTTCAAGTAAATCAGGCAATTCTAAACTATCATCAGATAGACAATCTTTAATTCTTAAATCCACTTCTTCAATACTTTTATTTGAATACAATTTTTGAACTAATTTTAATCATTAGTATTAAAACTTTTCATTATTTAAATAAATATGAATATATAAAATTCTTACTTTGGTTTCATTTATTATAATTCTTCATGCATTCTCAACAAATATTAATAATATTTTGGTCATTTGAAATCCTAACCCGAGATTCATTTTTAAACTAGTCAACAAATTTATGATCATATTTAACTTTTTTAATAGTGGCACCTGTTCACATTATATATTTATTACTGTATTATAAAAGTCTAATTTATATTCGAATCCTTTTTTATATTTCTTATTACAGCTATTATCATAATTTCTGGGACACCTGTGAAAATGGGCTGAGTGATTTTTTGGCCAATCTGGTTAAGTAATTGATTTCAGCATGATCCGTATAATAAAAATAATAAAAGCTATTTTGTATTATAATGATTATTTTGCGATCGTTGTAACAATAATGTCAACATTGTTAAATTTTTGTTTAAATACTTGCCCAACATGCTGGGTGTACTTAGTTAGTATAAAAATTTATGGAAAAGACTGCTCTTGTCAACTAATAAACCTTAACAAGAAATGTAAAAAAGGTTTCGAATATAAATTAGGCTTTTATAGCAAACACATTATATGAACAGATGCCGCTATTAAAAAAGTTAAATATGATTCTGAATTTGTCGATTGGTTTAAAAATAAATCTTGGGTTAAGATTCCACGTGACCAAGACTTTATTAATATATGTCGAGAATGCATAAAGAGTTATGATAAGTGAAATCAAAGTAAAAAATTTTATATATTTTATTATATATTATATTGAAAAATTATCTTAGTACTAATAATTAAAATTTATTCGAAAGGAGATCTGAAATCAAATGAATGTAATGAATGTATTGAAAGTACTAAAATGGTGAATTTAACGATTAAAGATCCTTTATTAAAAGTACTGAAATGGTAGATTTAATGATTAAAAATTCTTTTATTGAAAGTACTAAACCAGTGGATTTAACAACTAAAAATCCTTTAGATTGTTTAGCTGTAGATAGTGTAAAATTACCTGATTTATCTAATTTACTTAAAGCTACAGAAGTTAGTAGCATGAAAGAACCTGAATCAGAAATTAGTAATTTGAAACCATCTAAATCAGGAATTATTAATATAAAAAATTCTGAATCAGAAACCATTAATGTAAAGGTGCCTAATATAGGTAAGATATGTATAATTTTTAAATACAATAATTATTTAACATATTTTTAAATTAACTAATTATTTAATATTTTATTAATATTAGTTTTTATTATATTGGTATGCTATGATCAGTTTAAAAAACCATATAAAAAACTGGACAGGGAATTAGCAATTTTATATGATCTTGACAAAATCAAAAACTTCAGAAACATTAAAGAAGAAATCTTATCTCACACACTTCCCGAACAATGGTGAAAAATTGAATTGGGTTGTATTTGTTATCAAATTTCAAACACATCTAAAGAGATCATTATGATTTGAAGGCTGATGGTGCTATTGCTGCATTCATTGCTAAAATAAAATATAGAAAAAGCATTCAGTTATGTATTTATCGAGAAAGTGGTGAATTTAACAGAGCAAATAAAAGAATTCATGTATGTTATTTATATCTTATTTAATAAAGTCTGCAATTATTTTATTTATTTATTTATTTATTTATTTATTATTAGACACTTGAAACTGAATCAGATACGATTAATAATTAAATAAAATAAATATTTATTGATATAACTATACAATACTCTAAATAATTTTTACAGCAAACCAATATTATTGTATATATCCTGAATGCTGATAATATGCACATGCTAATTGCTTATTGATTGTCATACAAACAAGATCTAAAACATCTAAAGGAACTTCTACAGATTCTGCTCATGTTTAATTTTTTCGTAAATAATTTTTTATATAAAAAAACATTTGCTCGATCTATAATAAATACATATACTAAAATAAATTTATTAAAGTATTATAATACATATAAATATTTAAATTACTTACTGGATTAAAGTCAGGAGAATATGCAGGTAAAAATTCTAATTGAACTCCTTTTTCTTCACAAAGATCTCGCAGATATTGACTTTTATATATAGATATATTATCTAAAACTAATATACTATATTGTTCAGGAAACAGATTTATTTTTGGTAATTGTATATGTATAAATTTATTAATTTAATTGATATGTACTACATATCATTATATATTATACAGTATATATAGTTAAAAACTAAAAATCTTACATACTAAAACATATTTAATAAAATTTTTGTAATCATTCGAGTTCATAGATCCCTCTTGAATACAATATGCTAAAAGGCTATTAATGCATAATGCACCTTCTATAGTGAATCGTCTTCCTCAAACAGAATATGTATATTTTTGAACACATAATCCTGAAAAATTTCAACCATAACAACATGACTATATTCTTCTATCATAAGCACTTTCATCTGAAGAAACCAATTGACTTGGTGTATACTGAGACATTTGTAAAATAAAATTATTTCTATCAACTTCATTTCTTTCTTTCGCAAGTCTTGAAATCTATATAATTAAAAATTTAATAAAGTTATAAAATAAAAAATATAGATATATAACATATTACTTTTTTATGTGTCTATTCAAGTCAGTGTATAGCTCTCCAAATTGTCATAAAGCTAATATTATGTTCTAACCAAAGTTCTATTTCGGATTGTAATTTATACAAGTACTAGTTGGGTTTTTCTTTCATCAAGGTTTTGAGATATTTTATATCATTTATGTTTAATGAACGTGGTTTTCCTGAAAGCGATGGAAGTTTTTCAACACATCCATATTTTTGAAAGTGTTTGAAAACCCGACTAATAGAAGACTTGCTAACACCCAAGTGTTTGGCAATTTTTCGAACTGATAAGCCTTCTAAATTTTTTTCAACTATTTGCTAGTGAAGATGACTTGAAAGTATTATATTTCTGTATTAAACCAAAGATATGAATATCGATATGTAGTCTAATATTATTTATCTTAGTCACCTGATCTTAAATTATGTATATTAGTCAGGGAAGATGTCACACTGACTGATTTTAAATAATAATGTTACACAAAAATTTTGATACATGCTTTCAGTTAGTGCAAAAAAAAACCACAAACCCTTCTAAATACTCGGTCTTCATGCATTAGTAAAACTTAATCTACGAGTTTTATTACATTTATTTATAGCTTTTTATTTAATTTAATTAATTTTTTTTTTTTAAATATTAGAAGACAAAAAAGAAGCATAGATTTTAGCTTTGTCGCCCAGATCCTTTTCACGAAGCTG